GGTGAGCAATTGTGTTAGAGGTGGAATGCACAGTGGACTGGAGAGGGTATAATCAGTGCGGACTCACTGAATGTTAGTTGGCTTCTGTATGGTCTAAACGCACTGTGCCAGTAAGGCGATGCCTTTTTGAATCATCCCTGGAGCAGTGCAAACTCTGTCCAAATCGCTAGAGATGGTCATTATTTGGCGTTACATTCTGAAAGGAAAATTTCCACTTTACAAGTTTGGAAAACCTCTTTCCTCTCCTACCATTTGGCTTCTATGAACAAGGGAGGTCCTGTAGAAGTCTCCGAGCTCTGGCATTTCCATTGACTGGGCTAATCAGCTATCTCGTACCTGAGTCAATGAATCTGCGTTCTTTACACCTTGCACAAGAAATGTTGATTCTCGTGGCGCTTTTTGTTAATGAATAATCCAATTTAATAAGCATGTCTGGTGATGTTCTCTCAATTCTGGAATCATGGCATGGTGCTTAGTGCAGAATGGTTGAAGCTTGGCACACGCTCACCACTAGCATCGGGAATTCGTCAGGTTATGTTAATTAGTTTCAACTCGTCTTGGAGGAGTGAATACAAATGGGTAAGAAGTACTTCCAGCTACAAGAATTTTACCGTCATTCCATCATCAGCCATCGACGAGTTCTCTCAGACAACTGGAAGTGAACAAAGGGTTATGTCAATGAGGTCACTCAAGGCCTTCGCATGGAACGAGGGCACTGTTAAAATGGAATTGTGGTGTACGATGATCCTACTTGTATGTGTGCTTGTTTGTCTGCAGAGCCACGAACGGAACTGTGGGCAGAGGACATGGACCGTCGCATCAGCTGTGCCATTGACTACGGCCGCAAACGTCGCTTCCTTAACGACGGCGACAATGTTGTAGTGGTAACGGGTTGGAAGGCCGGATCAGGCGCCACCAACTCTCTGCGTATCATTCAACTTGGCACTCCCGCGGAGACCCACGTTCTCACCGTGTCAGACCTCAGGGGTTTCAATGACTAGACTTTAGTGTAGGTGAGACCGAAAGTAGCTTCTGGATTTCTATAATGTCATCAAACTGACTATTTATGTTCCCCCTTCTACTTTGTTGCCAATGCTGCTATCGATTCGAGCCCTTCCTCCTCCCATGTCTCGTCTACATCCCCTTTTCCTTTCCCTCTCTCGCCCATGACTCCTTTCTAATTGATTAAAAAGCACCAGTAGTGGCGGTCATTCATTACTCTTAGTTTTGCCTTTTTCCTGCCTGGTTGTGGTTTAGATGTACGAGTTATGTCCCTGTTATCCATGTCAAGTAATAGTAATATGGGTGATCGAATTGCGACTTGATAAACCTTCTTTTCAGTCTTTGAATTTTATGGGTTGGTACATGTCACAATGGATAGCTATACAAGGTCCTCTGCTAGCATGGTTACATGTCTTTGTAGCCTTATATGAATATATCAGACTGAGAATAAATGGTCATTGGAGTATTTGGTGGTACGACGGTTGGTGAAGGAGACTAGGCAGCAGCACCGAAATGTATGCTTTCATGTACCGTTTTTATTTCAATACGGATGAGATGGCATTCTTTTAAATAGGGGTTTAAGGAGTTACCTCAAGGAGCACCGCGTCTCTTATCTTTAGCATCTTTCGACGTGGAATTCATGTGAGTGCGGATAGCTGTCATTCCTGAAGGTGTTTTGTCTCTTGCATTAGCTCAGTACGTAGGAATTTGCGTGACAGGTTGGTTCATGCAAATTTCTCTTGAAAATCATCAACGATTTCACTTGCGCAAACCACAACACTCATTTCAGTAGGCTTTCAGCGACCAATGAATTTCCAGAAAAAGTTGTCAACCCTCAAGCCAATACCTAATGTGTCCAACCTTGACTCGTATCCATTCAGGCAGGTGAGAATTGGCTTGTGCATCGCAGCATTGTGAAGCCATGTATATTGTCACAACCTTAACTTTGCCTCCCAAATAAAGGTATTTCAGTCACGGGAAGGGTGGTGGATGAAACAATTCACCTTGACGACAAATGAAAACCATCTAAATGTTACTTCCAATGAATCCGAAGTGCTTTCAAGGCCACGAGTTGGGATAAAAAGGTTGGTGGGGAGGGTAAACACGAAGAGTAAGTTAGCATGCAATCTTGGCGGACAAGTGGGGAGAGGAATCAGTTGTGAGCAAACGATCGAGGTGATTGATGGGTGTGTCACATGTCCTTCCGATAATTCGCCCACGACGAACTCCTAATTTCACCGACAGTGAAACAAAATATCTGTTCGCTCCCAGCATTCTATTTTGGGTCGCTTGAGTTGGGCTGGATGGCCGTACATTTACTCAAAACTAGACTTAATGTCGAGTCCGTTTATTTTCTTTTTCCACTAGGCGATTCGGTGGCTGCAATAAGTTAAGTAATTGGCTACTGATCATATTTCGGAAGCATTTGCCTTCAAACCGGACTGATCGACCCTTTTACATGCGGAGATGTAGATACTCCAGTAAAGCCAATAGGGTTAAAGCTTTTTCTGTGGGGATTTATTTATAATAAGTACTGCAGGGAGGTGTAGTATACGTGACTTCGAAAGAGGCAACCCTGATTGGTTGTTGCTTTTCTCCCATCCCAACTGAATGCAATGCTTGTGGCCTTTTGCAGTTCCGAAAACTTCCCTGTACTGCTAGCTGGCTTCTTCGATGATGCTTTCACTTTGAATTCTGGAATTTGGATAACAGAAGAGGGAAAGTGTTCGGATGTCAAGATCTAGCTACCATCCATGTAAAATGTGTTGAGAGCTGTTTGGTGACCGAATTGGATTAACCGACTGTATGTGCCGTGCCAGCTTCCCAGACTGCGTTGATATAGGTGTAGAAGAGATTGGTGGGGCTTGCGTGTTCTTGGTCCACAGACCTTCAAAACAGGCACCTAATTCTCTGGTTAACCTTTCACTATTGCGCGTGTTGCATTCATGCTTTCCAATCCCACTCAAAAGTTTTGTGTGGATTAGCTACTGTATTTAAAGGGGGGATGTTACAATAGGTATTTGCTCACGGTTGTGACACCCCATAACACTCTCATTCACATCTGAATTATTACTACCTACTGTTTACACATCCTCAAAGCACATCACACTGGAATGCAGAGCTCAAGTTGGGTTCCTTTGATTTGAAAATCGTAAGTTTTAGCCCATAGGAAGATTTGGCAGCCAGCCAGTTTGGATGAGGAGTGATATTAGAGGTTGATGCTAGACGGTGGTGAATGCTGCACAAAGCTGGAGTGACCGCGTGTCTGGAAGTCTAGACAGCGGAGGGGTCACCGTTCAACCCACATTGCACCCGAGCGTACTCCAATATTTGGGCTCAGAAATTGCTCATCCATTCACCAACTCTCTAATAATCTTTGTGAAGGGGTTAATCCAAAAAGTGATTATTATCACTCATACACGCACACACACGCATTGCTTTTGTGAAATTTCAACCCTACCGTCAGACGCTTTATTTGACAAGGTTTAAAGTGGGAATTTTCACAATTGCTTACACTCCCCCCCCCTCCGGGAAATCCCCAGGCAAGTGGGCACCCCTGCGTGCCACAAGGGGACCATGACGGGGTAAACGCGTTACCCTTTTGTCCCAAGGTCACAGAAGCATACCTTGGTAGCGTGTTGTTACACAGCCAATGCAATAGCACTTTGACCTCAAATGAAAACAAATAACCTGAGCAGAGAGGTCAAAGTGAAATAAAACGAAAAACTAATAAACAGCACTTTAATTTTATTATTGAAATTTACCTGAGAAACTTGACCTCAAACTTAAAAACTATGTTTATTGGTATAGTTAATGTACTTACGAAGTGCAATTTATCAGCATCCAAAATTTTGAAAGATTTCAGCAATAGCACTACGCATTGGGGGCGTTTTAAGAACCCCAAAAATTGTCTGTCCACTGTAAAATAGACATTCAGATGGACTGGGAGATGTAGAAGTTAACAACTGGTGACTTTTATGGGGTCTTCCTATTTGCAGTTGCGTTGTTCCAAGATTCTTGCAAGCACTGTAGATCAATCAGGCAAATCATACCGAATTCTCCCATGAAATATTGTCTCACTGAAAGTGAAATCGTCGCATTTGCAGCATGGTTGACCAATTTTATAAGCAAAACGCTTATTCCTACCACTTTGACGTGTCAAGGTCACAAAGTGGGGAACCAACAAATAAAGTGGTTTTTAGATTTCTGCAAAGTTCACAAAAATAAATATTATTATGGCTACTACTCTTTTCCCCTATCAGGGTCATCGTGCTTTAAATTTGCATTGTACGGGATCATGACAAAATGTTGTTATTTGTGTGGATTTCCAATGCACCAGCTGACCGTTTTCCATTAGAGAAAACAATACTCTTGCCACAATAATATTGTTTTGCCTTACAAATGATCTCGGGGATTACCGGGGCTTCGTTTTATGGATCCCGATTGGCATAAATCACTTCGGAGTGTAAGTAGGAGACTATACGGTTGGAATCGTCACGTCCTTCGTGTATGCACACTTTGTCGGGTTCAAATACCGCAAACGCTCTCATTGTCCGAAATAGAAGGAAGGAAAATACCACTTAGATTTTGGACATGACAACGGTCTAGACACTAATTTAGGTGTCTAGTTCATTGTAAGCTCACTGTTTTCCAAGTTGAACATGAACCAGAGTACATGCGTACACTGTGTGGGTTTCGTAGCATAACGACTCTCAGGGTGACGCTAGGCGGTGAAATAACAAGCCAGTGGCACACGGATTGTTAAGATGAGCTGTAGAATCCAAACTTTAAAAGCCATAACACCAAGTTTACTTATTTGCTAGTTCAACGGCATGGTTGGCCTTAGGTGGATTTTTGGCCATGCACAACGTCTATACGGCTTCCAATTATCTGTGTTTCTGTGGACGAAATTTGTTTGATTTCAATGGTATATGGGGATACACAGACCAGTCACTCCTCGTAGTTTAGCCGGTTTCGCATCTCCTCTCTTCCAAAATCTCCATCTTATTTATAAAAGGAGAATAGATCTGGTTACAAACTGGTGTGCCCCATTGCAGCTTCGGAGGGGCTCTGAGGAAAGAAAGTGACGTGGTTTACTTAACTTATAGTTGTATTCGGAACACTATACATGTCTACCCACAGGAAATCTTCATGCCATTAAAGGTTTACGTGCCTTAAAAGTTTAAGCTAACATCGAAAATTATGGGGTGTACGACTACTTTTAGATGAGTAGTATGTTTAGCTGGATCAATGGGATGCAAAATGCCACGAACGCTCAGACCCTAAATATGTTGCTAGGGCAATGGTTAATGGGCTTTTTCGCTGTGACAATCATACATGACCACTGCATATGTATGCCTGGTATGCCGCGAGCCCAGGTCCTCAAATTAGTGAAGAATCATTAACTGAAAGAGAGAGATTTACTGTTAAGTCAAGCTACTGAGTAACTGTACTGCTATCCAGCCCATCCTGAGCGATTTGGAACAGACTGCTCTAGATTGACAGATACTCCACTCTGCTGCGGGCGAAATCAGGAGTTCGTCATGGGCAAATTATCGGAAGGACATGTGACACACCCATCAATCACCTCGATCGTTTGCTCACAACTGATTCCTCTCCTCACTTGTCCGCCAAGATTGCATGCTAACTTACTCTTCGTGTTTACCCTCCCCACCAACCTTTTTATCCCAACTCGTGGCCTTGAAAGCACTTCGGATTCATTGGAAGTAACATTTAGATGGTTTTCATTTGTCGTCAAGGTGAATTGTTTCATCCACCACCCTTCCCGTGACTGAAATACCTTTATTTGGGAGGCAAAGTTAAGGTTGTGACAATATACATGGCTTCACAATGCTGCGATGCACAAGCCAATTCTCACCTGCCTGAATGGATACGAGTCAAGGTTGGACACATCAGGTATTGGCTTGAGAGTTGACAACTTTTTCTGGAAATCCATTGGTCGCTGAAAGCCTACTGAAATGAGTGTTTTGGCTTGTGTAAGTGAAGCTGTAAACAAACATGGCATGCAAGTTACTTCTGAACAATTATATTGTCGCACGTTGGTTCCAGGAAGTCTAACACGGCCTTGTGTTTACCCGTGACTTTATTTCTGGTCTGATATTCACAACTCCAACGCTCATTCTGTTTTGTAATTCTTCTTTCTTTAGGTAAAACCGCTAAAAATAGTTCCATTTGCTTCTCGTAAGCTGGTTCAATGGTGGAATTAACTTTTATGAATTGATTTTCTCGGCTGAATATCACTTACATTTGGACTCCACTGCGTGTTTGTGTTATTACCACACCGAATGCTACTAGTTTTATTTAAGTAGCCGGAACGCAGTTTGTAGGGTAAAGGCCTAGCCTTGCCTCTCTGTGCACCTGTAATTATGAGACAGGCCTCTGCGTGAAACCTTCAAAATGCAATGCAGCGGAATATGCAACAATTTGTGGCTCAACTGCTGCATTCACGCTGGAATAAGTAGAGTCTGAAAGACTCAGATGCTGACCGACCATCAAGCACCCAGAAGACATGCTCTATTTGAAACTGTTATATCGAATCCTAAAAAGGTGCAATCAGCCATTGGCGCCTATATTCAATTATGTTGAGCACAGCTAATCTCCCTGGAACATAAATTGTTTCAGCTACAACTCTCATAAATTATTTAAAAATATGTCGCGTATGTGTGACACTACTGGAAAAACTTTTGACTTTGCCGAGGGTATTAAACAAAAAAGGAGGTATGAACCATCATGTCTGTCGAAACAATCTTATTTATACGCATGAAAGAGAGCTAGATGAAACAACAGCAATGGCCTTTTCCCGATCCCATGAGATGGACAAATTGCATACCAGAAATGCAAAGTACACAGACAGGCTCTTCCCTTGGCTTACGGCCAGGCTGCGGTAACCACACCACTATGATAGATGTTCAAGTGAGAAACCAATGCGAAAAATCGTCTAGAACATGCAGAATTCAACCGATGTTCAGTGAAACTCAAGTGATTATGCCCCCTCCAGTCCACTGTCGATTACCCACGGCGTTTCGGTGACCAGACCTCTAACAGAATCGCTCAC